AATGTCGGTCCAATGTTGGTCCAACGTGACGGTTGACCCTGCCTCTGAATTCTCAAAGCATCCCCTCGGGCTTGGATGCGATTGTCCCGATCTTCTCCTCCACATAGATTCGTGATCCGTCCTCGAGTACTGAGATAGCGCGAGGATAAAAAATGCTTTCAGCTTTATGCTTACCGATTTGACGTTGCTTCGGACTCAACTGGTTAAAAACCGGTTCCTAACGATCTACAAAGTGTACTTGATATGCTTAGAAGCGGCTCTTTTCACTCTAGGATGTTCTGAGCTGATCAACCAGTACATACATAAAATAGGGGGGGGGTACATTTATGCTGGAATCGAAGAGAATCACGCCGTGGGAAATGCTGTCACACATGGTGCAGGGATCTTTTCATACTTTTTTGGTATGAATTGGAAGGACTTTCGAAAAAGTAGCTTTCCTCACAGTAAAGGTGTCCGTTTAATGCATAATCCGAGGGTCACTAAAAATAGTTGTATTTTGGCGCTATATATGGAACTGCTGAAACATTTTTTTCGTAAAAAAGGCTATCTCAGGCGTGGGAGGAGGGTCGAGGGCACGGGCCATTTTCGTCTTCCCGGAGTTCTTGTCCCTTCTAAGATTAGTTCTAGACTTTTTGGCACAGAATTGAAATTGACTCTTTAGAATGATGCGCTGTTCTGGTACAATCTGCTCAAGCATGGAGATGGAGATTCAAGGACACGCCATGCAGCTTGTCCAGTCCTGGTCGGAGTGAAATGGGTACGATTACCTTCTTAGATCGATTGAGTTCTCATTGAATGAGCAGTGTTCTAGGTTTCAAACAAATGGATTCACGAGCGAGGAAACGAGTTCCGTCGTCGCTGTGGAGCGAAGATGTCCGACTATGAACGGTGAGTCGCTTGTCTCAACACTCCGCTCTGCCTCTTTCGCCGTAAATTTAACTCTTTCAGGTTTGTCGGAGATCTTGGCTTTGGACCAGAGCCAAAATACGCGCCAAACCTGAGTCCGGTGTTGTCTAAGGATATTTTCAACACTATCTAACGGCTCTAATATGTGGTCCACGTATTTCTTTTTTTTCTATGGTTCTCCTTTTCATCTGTGGTTCTCTCGGGTGGTGACTACTTGTTCACGCGAATGCCTTGCCAAACGGTTTTTCCTTGCCAATTGTTGGTTTTCTTCGTTACTGCTTGCCTTCAAATTGATATTAGTTATCTTGCCATCATTATCGTTATTGTCCCATTTAGAATAGCATAATTGCCCCAGCACTCACGGGCTGATTCCGTACCACTGCCTTGTTCTGGCACTTTGCATAATGTCACTCGTCGTTATTGTGAACTTTTTTCATCAGTGCCATTCATATTATACAGATACATATTTTCTATTGGAAATGTCAATTTCATATGGTTCGGATAGCCCTGTGGGTGCTACCTTGTCCTCACCTCCAACGGTTTGGGATGTGGGCTTCTGGCTTGCAAATTATAGCGAAATAGGCGCTATCACAATATACGGGGGCATCTTCTAGGACAAAGTATAGGAAGTGGCAGGAGCTCCGCGACAATTGAAAATGGTTTAAGCGCCTTGGCATGACTCCTGCCCCGCCTGTGGCTTAGTCCCGTTTCTAAGAAGCAATACATGATTTACGCGGTTCTAAATGCATTGACACCACAATGCCCCGTATTTTGCGATAGCACCGTAAAATAGCTATTATTCTAAATGTATTCGGATTCTACTCCGGTCCAGCATCTTT